CCCGCGTACCGCAAAAAAAAAAAAATCTTCTTCTCCTTCTCCTTCTCCTTCTCCTTCTTCTTCTCTCTCTCTCTCTCTCTGTCTCTCTGTCTCTCTCTCTCTCTCTCTCTCTCACACACACACACACACGCACACACACACACACACACACACGATGAGTGAAAGGAAGAAATCAATTACTGTACTTCAGAGGGGTGGAATGGAATTTTTTTTTTTCCTTTGTAGTTGTATAATGTAAATACCAAGTCAATATAGAATTCATAAATACTTGCTTTATAATCTAGTATTGTTTTCATGACTTCTGTGGATTCTGCTGTTGAATATTTTCTTGCTTCCAAAAATTTCTCTGTCGCTTTGCCTGATTCCGAGCTTTTATTTTCTCCATTGTGCTGTACTGTGCATTTGCATTCACAGCTGTACTTTCTTTTAGTGTATGAGTGCTTCATAGCCTCAGGAAATGTAGGGCTTATGGTCAGTAAGCTGAATGGTCACTGGTTGGTCTCATTTTCTATCTTAAGAACCTCCCTGTCTTTATGAGTTTTGCTGTTGTGGTGTTTTGAACACTAAGCCAGCTGTATTTCCCACATTGAACTCTTGTGTCTTCATACTATTTTTACCTGATGGGCTCCAGGGTCTGTTCTCATTCTATTCTAATATTAATGTGCTCTTTGTATTATAACAGAACTGGAGATTTGCTACCCTAGTGCACTGAAAAGGAATCTTTATCTTGTCACATGGTTTAAAGCAGGAAAGATTCACTTTAAGGAAAAAGTGACATTAAGTGTATATCTCTTTGTAAATAACAGCTCTTTTCTCTGTGTTCTCTTCCATGACCATTTTTATAGGCTTCATTATAACAGTCTATCAAGATTCAAAGCCAGCAAAGATAAGCTAAAGTTGGAAACCTATTTCTAATATATTTACTATCTTTTCTGATTATTAAAGTTATCTGTGTATGAAATTTATTAAATAAGGTTAATTATTAGAAAAGAAAAAAGCACTCTAATATTCCACTTCCTAGAGATAACTATAATTGATATTTCATGTATGTCTTTTCAGACCTTTTACATGAATGTGTGCATATATACATGTGAGAATGAAATTTTGAAACCAATCAGGACTCTTGTGGTTCCCTCCCAGGTACAAAAGCCTTTCTTTGTCCCCTATTTCTTGTTTGTAGGAAAAAGGCTTTCAGCCTTCTAGACCTTCACTGAGTTCCAAAGGGCAGGTTCAGTTCCTAATTAGAGGAGTGAGGGAATGCAGAAAAAAAGGAAAGGCAGTCAAGAAACAATAGTGCTGGGATGGGGCAGACTCCTGATTCCTCCTCAGGAGGTATATAACAATCTAATACAGTTCTCTTCTACAGGAACTAAGGCCCCCACTCAGGTGGAGGATGGCAACTTCAGGCAGAGCACAAGTACATGGACCCCAGACTGGTTGGAACTAGAAGGCTGATGATTGAGATTCCTGGAACACCCTGTTACTTCCCCACCAGAGGAGGGTTATACAACCTGCAACCCTTCCCCCAAATTTTGCCTATAAAAACTCTTTCCCCAAAACCATTAGGGGTTCAGGCTTTTTAGAACATGAGCTGCCCATTCTCCTTGCTTGGTCTTTGCAATAAACCTTTCTGTGCTCCAAATTCCAACTTTTCAGTTTGTTTGGCCTTACTGTGCATCAGGCACACGAACTTGTGTTTGTCAACAATTTATTTTACATACTTGAGATTATAGCAAATACTTTTTTAAAGTGCTTGTCTAATTATGTTTGGTAGTTGTGAGATAAAGATTGATGAATTTGTAACCTCATAGGGTCTTCCTTTAGCCTTTTTTCATGTGGAATTTTGTTCATGGTGGAACAGTTTTGGACTAAAGATTCTCAGTTTTTCCGTGAAAATTTAAAACATCAATAGTGGGTGATATCTATTTCAATCGATTTATCTTCATTTATTTTTCAAAGCAAATTAGAAAAGTATCAATATTAACCAATATTTTATGTAGAATTCCCAATCTGCTTATTTCCAGAAAGAAGCAGAAGTAATGAATTAGTATTTACTGAGCATCTACTGTGGGTCAGATGTGCTCTAGGCACCTTGTATGCAAATTCTGTTTAATTCTCATGGCATTTAAGTCATTGTGTAGGTATTTCTATCTCTCATAAGGCATCTGACTCTGCAAAGTGGTTGCTTTGCTACAAAGTAGCTGAGCTTGATTCAAACCTCAAGTTGTCTTGACACTGGAGCCCAAGTTACTTCTCACACCATACTGCCTCTATACATTGTCTCCACAGTTTATGAGTAAGGAAACCATGATGCTATAGACCTCAGTACAATCTGAAGAATTACACCAGGCCATCAGCTACTTTCAGTATGATCCTGCCAGTTCTCACGAACCCACAAGCATTGAAGGATGCCACCTGTTCAAATAATTATAGAATCTCTCTTGTTAGATTTGAACTAGTTCATAAAACATTCCTCAAAATCTTTTTATCATTTGCTTCTTCCTCAATATCCCTTTCCCTTCTGCTCCAATCTATCCTTAAAAAGTAGATACCTAAGAGAAAGTTTTATCATCTCAGCCACCATTGACATCCAGAGCCAACAACAGGATATTTCTAAAACCCTCCAGAATCATGTGTGCATTTATAAAAATAAACGAAAAGAAACATTGTCCCTAATGTATTTGTTAATGAAGTTTCACAATGCCTACTCTGAAAAACTGCAGGATTAAAAATAAACAAATGTTCCAAGTTAAATAAAAAATGTAAAAATTAAAAATATGTTTTAATCAGTTGAAAATACTTTTTAATAGGAAATTAAAACATGCCTTTGTTTCCCAATCCTTGTTGGTGAAATTTGGAAAACTAAAGAACTAGCTACTAGGCATCTAGTAAATGTGTTTTTACAAATGAGTTTGTAATCATTGATATTTAGAATGGGAAGGAATATAAGTATGAATTACTCCAATTACTGCTTTTACTAGGACAATTAAGTTATTTGTCAAAGGTCACATATATTGTGTGGTGTTCGTAATGTGGTTAAATTTGATGATATGATATTCATACTTCATACAAATAAAAAATCATTTAGTTGAAAAGAACACAAAATATTGGTACTCTCATTTTTATGTTGCATAAAGCTTTTATTGAAATATAGCAAACATAGAGGAAAATGTACTGTTAACCAAAATTTTAGAAATGGAGATCTGATTGAAATAAGAAGGTGTTTTTGGGGTGTTTTTAGGACTGCAATCCAGGAGACACAGATTCAAGAAGCACTTGAATTGCATTTCACCAGACTACAAAATGTGGGAGGCTTATAAAGGCAAAGTACCACAAGGTTACAGTTAGTTACATGAGTTGTTTATCAAGAATTATAATTGGAACTGGCAAGAAGTAAGAGTGCTTGTTAACTAAGGATTGGTTGGGGTCCGAAATGGTTACATAGTTACAAGGCAGGACCTTGCAACCATATTGTTGCAGCTGGCAGAACTTGTTCTGAATACAGCTAATGGTGTACTTGGGTCTGGTATAGTTCAAATAAAGTTCAGGCTCTCAGTAGAGCAGAGACATTTGTTTCTAAGACCAGAACCTCAATGGCTACCCAACTCCATTTGGTATGCCTGAAGTGTGATTACTCTATCATAATTTTAATTTGTCATCAGTGTAAATCACAACTGTATTACTCAATTAATTTTCATAAAGCATGCCCACAAAGTCAGTAACCCCAAAGATTCATTTGTTACCCAGTCAGTGACCACTATTCTGACTCTAACAGCAAAACTTAGTTCTATATTCGGAGAATACAGAGAGGAATATAATTATGTTCTAGTTAACTATTATCCCAGATTTGTCAAATATCGATATTTTTCCTTACTGAAATACTTTAAAATATTTTAAAGTTTATCTTTTCAATTTTTATATAGTAACTCACTTTTTGCTATCTAGTTCTATGAGTTTTGATATATTCATAGAACCTTATCCATAGTGAAGATACAGAACATTTCCATCACCCCCAAAATTCCCTCAGTTTGCTTTTTCTTTGTACACAACACTTTCTCTCAACCTTAACCCCTAAAAACAACTGATCTATCCTGCTTCCTTAATATTTGCCTTTTCTAGAATGTTAAATTAATAAAATTGCACAGTATGTACCCTTTTGAACCAGGCTTTTTCTATTTGCATAATACATCCATGTGGAAGCATGTATTAGTAGTTGATTTTTATTGATGAATAGCATTTCACTGTATAGATGTAAAGCAGCTTGTTTACCCATTCACCAACTGTAGGACATTTAAGTTTTTTCTAGATTTTGGAGATTATGAGTAAAGTTCCTATTAATATTCATATAAAATATGGGCAAATATAAGTTTTCATTACTCTTGAGCATGGATCACTGGGTTATATGATAAACGTATACTTAATGTTATTTTAGAAACTGCTGAAATGTTTTCTAAAGAGACTGTACCATTTTGCGTTCCCACAGCAAAGGATAAGAGTTCAGTTGCTCTGCATCCTTGCCAACACATTATTATTTGTTTTCAATTTTAGATATTTTAATAGATGTGTAATGGTATCTTCTGTTTTCAATTTGCTTTTAATTAATAGCCAATGATGTTGAGCATCTTGTCATGTGCTTAATATACTGATAAAGTATTCTTTTACTCCAAGTTTGATGAGTATATTTTTTTCTTCTCATGAATGGATGCTGTATTTTTTCACATGCTTTCTCTGAATCTGTTGAGATGATTATGTGGTTTTTTTCTGTTTTAGTACATTCACATAGTGAATTACATTGCTTGATTTTTTTTTAAAACATCTTTATTGGAGTATAATTGCTTTACAATGGTGTGTTAGTTTCTGCTTTATAACAAAGTGAATCAGTTATACATATACATATGTCCCTAAATCTCTTCCCTCTTGTGTCTCCCTCCCTCCCACCCTCCTTATCCCACCCTCCCTATCCCACCCCATTAGGTAGTCACAAACCACGGAGCTGATCTCCCTGTGCTATGCGGCTGCTTCACACTAGCTATCAATTTTACGTTTGGTAATGTATATATGTCCATGCCACTCTCTCACTTTATCCCAGCTTACCATTCCCCCTCCCCATATCCTGAAGTCCATTCTATAGTAGGTCTGTGTCTTTATTCCCGTTTTTCCCCTAGGTTCTTCATGACCATTTTTTTTTTAATTCCATAAACATGTGTAAGCATACAGTATTTGTTTTTCTCTTTCTGACTTACTTAACTCTGTATGACAGACTCTAGGTCCATCCACCTCACTACAAATAACTCAATTTCATTTCTTTTTATGGCTGAGTAATATTCCACTGTATATGTGTGCCACATCATCTTTATCCATTCATCTGTTGATGGACACTGACGTTGCTTCCATGTCCTGGCTATTGTAAATAGAGCTGCAATGAACATTTTGGTACATGACTCTTTTTGAATTATGGTTTTCTCAGGGTATATGCCCAGTAGTGGGATTGCTGGGTCATATGGTAGTTCTATTTTTAGTTGTTTAAGGAACCTCCATACTATTCTCCATAGTGGCTGTATCAACTTACATCCCTACCAACAGTGCAAGAGGGTTCCCTTTTCTCCACACCCTCTCCAGCATTTATTGTTTCTAGATTTTTTGATGATGGTCATTCTGACCAGTGTGAGATGATATCTCATTGTAGTTTTGATTTGCATTTCTCTAATGATTAATGATGTTGAGACTTCTTTCATGTGGTTGTTGGCAATCTGTATATCTTCTTTGGAGAAATGTCTATTTAGGTCTTCTGCCCATTTTTGGATTGGGTTGTTTGTTTATTTGATATTGAGCTACATGAGCTGCTTATAAATTTTGGAGATTAATCCTTTGTCAGTTGCTTCATTTGAAAATATTTTCTCCCATTCTGAGGGTTGTCTTTTGGTCTTGTTTATGTTTTCCTTTGCTGTGCAAAAGCTTTGAAGTTTCATTAGGTCCCATTTGTTTATTTTTGTTTTTATTTCCATTTCTCTAGGAGACGGGTCCAAAAGGATCTTGCTGTGATTTATGTCATAGAGTGTCATGCCTATATTTTCCTCTAAGAGTTTGATAGTGTCTGGACTTACATTTAGGTCTTTAATCCATTTTGAGTTTATTTTTGTGTATGGTGTTAGAGAGTGTTCTAATTTCATTCTTTTACATGTAGCTGTACAGTTTTCCCAGCACAATTTATTGAAGAGGCTGTCTTTTCTCCACTGTATATTCCTGCCTCCTTTATCATATATAAGGTGATTATATGCATGTGGGTTTATCTCTCAGCTTTCTATCCTGTTCCATTGATCTATATTTCTGTTTTTGTGCCAGTACCATACTGTCTTGATTACTGTAGCTTTATAGTATAGTCTGAAGTCAGGAAGCCCGAGTCCTCCAGCTCCATTTTTCTTTCTCAAGATTGCTTTGGCTATTCGAGGTCTTTTGTGTTTCCACACAAATTGTGAATTTTTTTGCTCTCATTCTGTGAAAAATACCAGTGGTAGTTTGATAGGGATTGCATTGAGTATGTAGATTGCTTTGGGTAGTAGAGTCATTTTCACAATGTTGATTCTTCCAATCCAAGAACATGGTATATCTCTCCATCTATTTGTATCATCTTTAATTTCTTTCATCAGTGTCTTATAATTTTCTGCATACAGATATTTTTATTTTGTCTCCTTAGGTAGGTTTATTCCTAGATATTTTATTCTTTTTGTTGCATTGGTAAATGGTAGTGTTTTCTTAATTTCACTTTCAGATTTTTCTTCATTAGTGTATAGGAATGTAAGAGAGTACTGTGCATTATTTTGTATCCTGCTACTTTACCAAATTCATTGATTAGCTCTAGTAGTTTTCTGGTGGCATCTTTGGGATTCTCTATGTATAGTTTCATGTCTCTGCAAACAGTGACAGCTTTACTTCTTCTTTTCCGATTTGGATTTCTTTTTCTTCTCTGATCATTGCTTGATTTGTGAATGTTGAAACAATTTCACATATTGGCATTAATTCTACTTGTTTGTGATATTGTATTGTGTATTTTTGCTGGATATGATTTTTTAGATTTTATTTGGATTTTTTCATATGTATTCATGAAGGATATTTATCTTCATTGTCATTTAATTGCAGTGTCTTTTTGGTTTTGGTATCAGGAAGATGTTGCTCTCATTAAAGAAATTGAGAAGTTTCTCTTCCGTTTTATTATTTTCTAGAAGATATTGGGTATAATTGACATTAACTCTTCCCTAAATATTTGGTGGAAGTCACCAGTGAAACCATCTGAGCCTGGGAGTTACATTGTTGGGTGATTATTAGATATGAGTTTGTTTTCAAAATCTATTTTGGAAGTTTGTGTCTTTCAACAAATTGATCAATTTCTTCTAAGTTGTTGCCTTTATGAGCATAAATTGTTCGTTAGTGTTCGCTTACTATCCTGCTAATATCTGTAGTGACTGTAGTGATATCCCTTCTTTCATTCTTAATATTGATAATTTGCATATTCTATTTCTTTTGGTCAGTCTGATAAAAGATTTTTCAATTCTGTTGCTCTTTTCAATAAACACCTTTTGATTGCATTGGTTTCCTCTATCACTTTTGTGTTTTTAATTTTACTTACATTTGTTCTTATCTTTATTATTTCCTCCTTTTGCTTGCTTGGATTTATTTTGCTCTCCTCTTTCTAGTTCATTAAGATAGAAAGAGATTTATTTACTTGAGAATTTGTAAAGTAAGCATTTATTCCTATACATTTCCTTTAAAAATTGCTTTAGCTACATCTCACAAATTTTCATATGTTGTACTCTTACTTTTCTTCAGTTTAAAATATTTTCTAATTTCCCTTAAGACTTCCTCTGAATAATTTATTTAGAAGTGTGGTGTTTAATTTCCAAATATATGTGGATTTTCCAGAGGCCTTTCTGTCACTGATTTCCACTTCAATGACATTATCACTTAAGACACATTTTGTATGATTTCAATTCTTTAAGGTATTAAAAAATTTTTTATGGCCCAGAATATGGTTTGCCTTTGTTCCATGTGTCCTGTACTCTGGACAGAAAGAGGGTTTTCTCTCCTGTTTTATGTTGACTGTGCTAGCTGCACAGTTTCTCTACTTGGACAGAGAAATAATAATGTATTTCTGATGTTTTGACATCTGGGGCCTTGCTGACCATGGAGAGGCTGCTAGTCAACTTTTAGAGATAATAGACAATTCTCGTGCTGGAGCCCACACCCTCTCTCTTCCCACCTCTCCTATTAGGCTCTTATACTCTGGGCCACTATTCTCCTGCTTTAATCACTCCTGAACCAGTTACTAGACAACTAAAGGCAGCTCTTCCACCCCACAACCTGCTGGAATTATTCAACCTAGTCCATCCTAGGCCTGGTTAGGTTGTCTTACCTGTTTCTTCTCACAGAAACCACCACAAATGCTCTTGTCCATGTTTCTCTCTGTCTATCTCTGCTTTCTGACCAATCCTGGTGCTTCATCATGTGGCCTCTGAATGGTGCCACATGCTTCCTCCTTTTTGGAACTGTGAGTAACAAACTATCCTTTCAATGGCAGCTGCCTTCTGTTCTGTTGGCCTCACTAGAGCTGAATAATTATAAAACCTATATTTTAAAATATTGGGTCATCCTCAGGCTAAAAATGGGAAAAAATATCAGGAAACTCTTCCTTGCACTGACAGTTCTTCAGTTTTTTACTGCCCTCCCCGGATGTGTTTTTATTTATTCTGCTATTATTCACTTTTTAGAGCCCTCAGGTAGTTGCTCTTTGTATTCTATCCAGAGATTTTAGTCATAAGCAGTGGGGAAGATAAGCTGAAGTGGGTTTATTCTACCTTGTCAGGTAAAAGAAATCACATAGCTTAGTTTTATTTGTTTTTGAAATGTCTATAAAAGGAAACACACAGCACGTACTCTTTCTTTTGAAATTTCTTTCACCAAACATCATGTTTGTGAGATTCATTTATGTGTTCCATATATCAATGATTTATTCACTCTTATTGCAGTAGAATTCTATCATATAAACATATCACAATTTATTTTTCCAGGATATTTACCAGAAATGAAAATCTCTACAAGTCTCAGATTGAAGATTAACAATAAGCCATAAGCAGGATAAATAAAACATTTCCTCCTAGTCATAATTGTAACTGAAACTTCTGAATATCAAAGAAAAAGAGAAAATATTGAAATTAATCAGAGTCAAAAGACAGCTATTTACAAGATAACACCAATGATACTTCTTATCTGCAACTATAAATGGCAGGAGACAAAGGTGGGGTGTCCTCAAAGGGTTGAAGGAAAACCTTTATTGATCTGAATTCTATCTGGGCTAAACTTTCATCTAAGAGAGAAATAAGAAGAAAGATACTTTAAGGCAAACAAATGCTGAAGCTGTTTACCATTCACAGACCTTTGCCAAAAGAATGACTACTAGATATACTTCAGGAAGAAGGAAATTAAATTCCATGAAATAATGGTGGAGGGGGGGAAATGTTAAACATATTCAGTCATCCTTGACTGAATAAAGATAAAAGCAATGGTGATTTACTTGGAAGGGTTTAGTTATCTGCTGAACAAAAATAGTAGATAATATGGGTTAGTGTTCTACATTTATTTTAATTATTTGAGCAGTAGAAAGATATCAAGTTTAGATTTGTCAAGGATGTATTATAAAGTTTTAAAACTAACCACTAAAAGAATGGAAATAGAACCAATATCATCCAAAAAAAAAAAAACAAAACAGAATGGAAGAAAGAAAACTGAATTAAACCAATGGAAGGAAGGTATGCAAAATAAAAGGTAAAAAAAATGCTTAATTGAAAACACTACATGTTAAAAAGTAAGTCTAAATATATTCACAATGAAGTCAAACAAATTATACTCTTCTATATATCTAGAGAGAGAGTGCCTTTTAAAGAAAAGCTAGCTGTAAGTTGCTTACAAGTGTTTGGCTACAGTGCTCCATGTTGATGCTGGATAAAATACTGGATAGTCTTAATGAATATAACCAGTTTTTTGAACCATAGGGTATTACCATGAAAGGTTTTTCCCCAATATTATTTTTAATCAAGCTCTGTTGATACTTTTTTCCCTGCTCCTTAACAACATCCTAATTCTATATAGAATATACCCAATTAGATGCATTTATTAAATGTCTAGCCCAGTATGGTTTAAAACCTCTATCTAATATCCAACTTAACTTCATCCCCCTCCAACTCAAGATGGGGGCGCTCTATTCTCCTTTGGTCCTGTCCAGCAGTCTAGGCCTTCTCCCAGTGAGGTCCACTTGTCCAGAGATTGCCTTGGTGTTGTTATAATTTCTGTTTTCTCCTTTTACTTTGGACTCCTTTTACCTATGGGAGCCTTTTCACGGAGCTTAGGGGTCACTGAGGACCTCTTCTGAAGTGGAGCTTTCCATTTTTTACTCTACTGTTTTCATTACCAATCTATTTTTATTGGCTGTTGTAGCAAAACTTATGACTTCAAGCATCTCCAGGCAAGAAGTATGTCCTAAAATTACAGGAGACATGTAAAACTCCTCCAAGAACTCTCCCATAATGCTTTACTCTGCTCAGTGGCGTACTCACATGAGCTTTCATCTAGCATGCAGCTGGTTAGTAAAATGCTTCTCCCATTCTTGAGATACCCCCATTTCTCAGAGTGGTTATCTTAAACAGCTCAGCTTCGAGGGTATTACATTAGATATGTCTCTTGGCCCAGGGTGTATTACTCATATGTTCACTTATTTCATTGTTCCCTGTGCCTGCTGTGCTCCCTGTGCAAGGTGCTTGTTGCTTTAGATGTGAAGATGAGTGAGCCATGGTCTTTTCCTTCAAGTAGCTTGTCCTCTAGCAAATATCCTAGAAAAACTAGTTTGTGGGTTAAATCTGTGAGTAGATATTTCACAAAGACCACAGTACCTTTGAAATATGTCTAGTTTGCTTAGTGTTCAGATCTTTTCATTTTTCTCAACTTAAATTGACAACTTAAGTTAATGAGAAATGAAAACCTACTAAGCTACTGGACAGGACACTGGATTATATGTGAGTTGTTTTCTAATCCAGTAATACATTGGGCTGTATTCCTTAAGTCAGTCTAGGCAATATTATGGTAGCAAACTCCAAAATTGTAATGGCTTTTCTGAACAAAAAGGTTATTTGTTGTACAGGAAAATGTTGGTTGGCATCATCAACACTCAAGATACACTACCCTCCATGTGGTTATTCAGCAGTCTAGACTTCTGTGATCTTGTTACTGTATCATCTCAACATGAAACCTCCACAATGACTGAGGCAAGGGAGGAGTAGAGTTGAAGAATTACTGTATCAGGGATTCCCTGTTTGAGGATTGTGGAATAGGGAACTTTCAAAGGAATGAGTCCTTACATATTTATGGAAAGATATGGGAGGAGCTGGAGAAGTAAGTGTCTGAAAAATAGACTTGGAAAATCAGAGGGAAAAAAACCCCAAATAGTCCACGTTATGCATTGGCATGTGTGGACAAGTTGGAGTTTTCAACTGAATGTTGCAAGCCAGGGGTATCTAGTTCCCAGAGTATGGCTGCAAAGAGTTGCTGGTGGAGAAGAATGCAGGATCCTGCTGCCTCTGTACCTGGTGGTGGACCTGGGTTTGCCATCACTCTCAGCAGTCAGGAAGAAGAGATGGACATGGTGGGTGAAGAGTAAGGGCAAGCTGGAAGCTACTGGCCCTTCTTCATCAATCTTTTACCACTTAATCACAAAGACCCTTAAATGACAATTCACTTCTGGCTTCTAAACCTTTGTGTGAATTTCTCTTTGGGCCAACTCTAACTCAGAATCATACAGGGATGGGAATTCTTCAAAACATAGTTTCAGCTTAGTTAAATGAACATAGTCAACACAAGCCATTATTCTCTCTCTCTCTCTTTTTTCCCTTAGGTCTAAGTATTATTAAAGCAGTTTCCAGCCCTGAGCTTTACTAATTGCAACATTCAGCAGCCTTTGGAGTCTAGTTCCAACTATATTTTCTTTGGTGGGTAGAGAGAAGGCAAGAGAAATTATAAAATGGAAGAATACAGAAATCTTGCAAATTAGAAAACTAATAGAGCATTTCTGTACAAAATCTTGTGGCACATTTGATGGTATGTGGAGTGGAACTATGAACATTTAGGGAAAGTATATTTTTACTGCATCTTAGAAATGTAAAAGTTAGCCATTTTATAATGATGGTATGAGTCATTCTGGACATTATGAAGACTGCAATATATTTGCCAATGCATGATTCTTCCATTTACGACTGTTATGCAATAGCAATAACAGGCAGTCAACACAAAGGGATTGCAATTATTCACCTTCCAGATGAAAGGAAGAAAGAATTAAAGTTCTCTTTTTATTAAAAAATATAAATGAAAAAAGACTATAATCAAGGCAAAGAAAACTTTCACAAATCTGTTGAGCTAGCCCAAATTTATATAACAGCAAATTAGTATAGGACCTTATCCAATTGAAATTAAAATTAAACATAATTACAACATAACTTGGATGTTTCTCCTGAGAATTACTCTTTTGATATATAAAAATACTAAAGATAAGGCAACATAAATGGAGAGTTTTTGCTGAATTTTTTCAAATCCCCTCAGATCTAGGTGAGTAGATCAACATTAGCGAGGTGATCTTTGAGAAATTTTCTAGGAGACCTGGACTGGAAGTCAGAGGTTTTTGAACTTAGTCCTGACTCTGACCAGCTGCGTGATCTTGAATAAGTCTCTTAACCTCTCTGAAGATTGGTTTTCTCACCAGCAAAATTAGCTATTTTGATAATATATCTTCTAAAGAAGTATGTCCAATGGAGATATGTGAGACACATATGCTATTTTAAATTTTCTAGTAGTTGCATTTAAAAATGTAAAAAGATGAACTAAATTAATAATATATTTTATTTAACCCTATATATCCAAAATAACATCATTTCAACATATAATCAACACACAAAATTAGTGATAGTATATTTTACATTTTTTGCTCTGCAATCTGGTGTGTATATTACACTTACAGTGCAACTAATTTTGGAAGCTAAATTTCATTGGAAAAACTTGATCTGTATTTAGATAAAACATAAGTATAGCTGAAAAAGTAGATTCATATGCTGAAGTTGTTCCAAACATACTTAAATTTTTCTAATAACTAAAGCAACTGTCAGTTTTAAAATTTCAATTCAATTCAATTCCATTACAACTTAAATTAAAAACCCATTTCCTCAGTTACATTAGCCACATTTCAACTACTCAGTGTCCTTATGGAGCTTCCGACTACTCTATTGGACAGTGTAGTTCTAAAATCTCTGCTACCTCTCCTTTTACCTCTGTGAAGCTCTTCCGGAATGCTTTAAAAAAAAAATTGACTGGATTCTCTCTGTAATTTCAGGAATGTACTGAATATGAAGGGAGACATAATTCCTTGTGCCACCTTCCTCCACCGAGGTACTGTTTCTTATGGATAAAGTTCATAAATTCTCTTGTTTTTCTTGCCTGCTGATGGAAACATTTTCACTTTGGTGAGCTTTGTGAAAATTATTAAATAAGGAAAAACAAACAGAAAAACCCTTTCCATTCTGTCTTTGACAGATACTTTAAGGAATAGTTACTTCTCTTACTACTTTAGTATGAAATTTATTAAATGCATACAAATATATTCATGGTGGTGTTGCATGAAAAGGCAAAGGAGAAACATAAATATCTACCAATCAGAGAAAAGATATGTAAAATGCAGTATCTACATGCATTGCATTATCATACATAAGTCAAAAGCAATCAATTCAATTTCCATAAATTAATTAGGATCCAATGGTATGTGCAGAAACATGAAATCATATGAAAGACTTAGGAGGAAGAATTAAAAGCAGGATACAATTTTAAAATGCATATGCCAAACAATATTGTGGGTTGTTTAAAGAAACACACACACACACACATACACACATACTTATATAGACAATAGTTTGGAATAATTCGATGCAGGAAAATGGCTGCTTACAGGAAAAGTGGCTGGATTGGACTGAGGATTGGGAACACAAACAACATGCCTACAAAGCAAAAAAATATGAGATTGTGCTACATAACAAGAAAGAGGATCATATCAGTATCTTTCTAATTCTGTGCATTTATCATCTTTATATAATTTAAAATATATGAAGGGCTTGGCTAGCTCAGTTGGTAGAGCACAAGACTCAAAATATATGACAAAAGCCCTATAATGGGAATGTTATATATTTGAAATCCCTCAGGAGTTTATACTCTAGCTAGGGAGAGACACACGTACACAAAAAGTTACGATTCTGTGTGCTAATTGAAAACTATGACATAGTTTACAAATGTCTCTTTAATGGAGCTTTGGAAAAAATAGAAGATAAATATATTATATATAAAGTGTATAATATATAATATGTATATAATATATATTATATACATATTATATATTTATATAAATCTTTTTCTAATATTTTAAATAACACATTTAGCTAGCATAATGACCATATTATTGTCCTACACATAATTATTAATAACAAGAAAAAATGAGAGGGAGAAATCCAACATTTTGTGAAGCTCTATTATGTGCCAGCCAGACTGTGTACTAGATATTTTATGGACTAGTATCATATTTATCATGTTTTTCTTTTCAGTGACCTCATAATAATAAGGCAAACATTATTATTCCCATTTTGTGCATGAAAAAGCTAGAGCCTGGGGAGGTTGAGAAATGTGCTCAGTGTCATCAGCCTGTTTGGGAGCCATGACAATACATAAGTGTCACTCTGGAACCTGTGTCTTCCCAGACGCACTACAATAACTCCACAATAAAATTAATGTCTCTGCTTCTGAACAAGAAATGATAGGAAGTCCATTCCTTTTAACAGCAGTTAAATATGGTATAGAAAGTTCTGATCAAAGGAAAATTAAGACTACCATAGAATCACTGTCCTTTTCTCCAACCCAAAACGTTTCAAGGATGCTTCCTTAATTCTCAGCACACCTGTCCCTTCCTCCACTTCAGCCTCAAGGTCAGTCACTTCATTAGTCCAGTCCTTGGTCCCTTTCTGCCTTGATTATTGATTTATCTTTCTCATTGATTTCCCTCCTTAAAATGGCCACCCCCCCTTTATTCATGTTTAAAAATGCTGCTAGAGTGATCCACGTGAAATGCATAAAGCACCACATCCTTCCTCTGCTTAAATCATCTCAGAGGTTTTCCTTCAGAACAAAATTCAAGCTATGTAGATTAAAAGAAAGGCTCCTCAACACATAAATTTCCTTCTACTTCTATTTTCTCTCCTGAGAATCGTTATTTTGATCTTTTCTGTCTCATAATTCAACTTTTGCTCTTCAAGGTATATTTGAGTAACACCTCTCCAGGAAACCTCCTCTGCCCTGACCCAGTAGGACAGATGGTGAGTCCTTTTCCTCTGTGCTTTCCATCCTTTTGCACATGATTTTATCACACTGTGTTGTAATTGTTTTATTCACTGGTACATCTCTCCCATTGTCTAAATTTTTATGTTTTTCATTGTCATTCTCAGAAATTAGCACAGTGCCTGATTAAGGGCTCAGTAAATGTTTCTTGAATGGTGAAATTAATTTAATGGAATGTAATCTAAATATAAACTGAGGTTCCCCCCACCTGTATTTGTCAAGGTTCTTTCTCTCAGATCCATCACCCTCATTACCTTTCCTCCCAACATACATGTGGCTTCAGGAAGAGAAGGGAGTTGTTTTTCATCATATGACTCTTACTTTCTCCTGCTCTCCTTTGCTCGGTCTTTTATAGGATTGTGATGGTGGTTTGCAGGGCAGGGGTAGGAAAGAGAGATTGGGATTCTGGTTGGTGATGTCAGTGCTATTTGTGTTGTCTGTTCAGAATTCCTAACGAAAGAGCAACCCTTAGTTATTTTTATAATATAGAATGCTTAACATATCGTTTTCTTCAACTGGGTGCAGTGGGGTGGAATTTTCCCCACTGCACCCAGTTGAAGAAAACGATACCATTTCTATATGCTATTATGCTGCAGTCCTATATACAGCTATAGTCTCTGTTCTCAAATGGGAGCTTACCCACTTTGCTTGAAGTACCATTCCCAGGGATTGTGGTTTCTAAATTTGTTCTCCAATACCGGGGTCTACCCAGGATTATCCTTGCCTCCTAATCTGCACAAGATTTTTTGATATGCTACAAACTATAAACCAAATGGAACTTTAACATTCTCAATACACTGTAATAAAATATTATAGGATGAGTAAAGAGTAGAGGCAGAACTAGTTATACACTAGAACAAGTTAAGAAACTCAGGTAGAGGTTACAGTTTTCATTTATCCCACTAGTTATTTCTACCACTAGGTATGCTGGTTTATTTATGACTTCCTTCATTACAGTACTCAGTCATTTTCCCTTAGCTTTAGGCTAGGATCTTGATTGATTAAGGTTCTTTGTCTTGTGAGGGGATCCAATTTTTCATTCCCGAGGAATTTATGCCCTTAGTGCTTCTTTTTGAATAAAATTACAACTGTCTTAAGTAAAATTTTTCACTAATCAAAACCATGGAAGAGGTGTGCAGGGGACTCAAGTTTCCCCCTTATGCTTTCCTGCTCTATCCTTGAAGGTCAGGTTTAATTGCCTCAGCCAGTACAATTTATGCCAGTTCTCTTAATCATACATTGGACATGGCCAGATTTCAATTCAGTGAAACCAAAACAAAATAATTTATCTTGTAGGAATGGTTCTTCCCTTGGCTTCTTAAATCTCCATAATAAAAGAAACAACCTCAACATAATAAATGCCATATATAAAAATTCTATAGCTAACATACTTAAAGGGGAAATACTAAAAGATTTTCTCTAAGGTCAAGAATAAAACAAGGATGCCCACTTTCACCATTTCTGTTCAAAATGTACTGGAAGTCCTACCCAAAGCAATCAGGCAAGAAAAAATATAAACTAAAAGGCATTCAAATTGGAAAGAAAGAAGTGAAATTTCTTATCTGTTCACAGATAAGAAATCTTATATGTAGAAAATCCTGAAGATTCCACACACACACCAAAAACATTACAACTGTTAAACAAATTCAACAAAGTGGCAGAATACAAAATCAACATGAAAAAAATCAGTTGAATTTCTATACACTAGCAGTGAATAATCAGAAAAGAAAATTAAGAAAATAATTCCATTTACAATAGCATAAAAAAGGATAAAATACTTAGGAATAAACTAAACCAAGGAGGCAAAAAATTTGTACACTGAAAACTAGAAAATATTGCTGAAAGAAATTAAAGAAGACAACAATAAACAGAAAGACATTTTGTGTTCATGGAGTGAAAGAAATAATATTAAGATGACAATAGTACTCAAAGCAATCTTCAGATTCAATGTAATCCCTATCAAACTACTAAGAATGTTTTTGCAGAAACAAAAATATCCATCTTAAAATTCTATGGAAGCTTAAGGAACCCCAAAGGGCAAAGACAGTCTTGAAAAAAGGGAACTAATTTGAAGATTTCACACCACCTGATTTTGAAAGTTACTACAAAACTACAGTAATTAAAGCAGTGTGGTACTGGCATAAAGGCAGAAATATAGACCAATGGAGTAGAATGAAGAACCCAGATATAAACCCTCACACATATGGTCAAATGACCTTTGATAAGGATATCAAAACCATTCAATAGGGAAAGGACAACCTCTTCTTCAACAAATGTTGTAGGGAAAGCTGGCTATTCACATGAAAAAAAAAAAAACAGAGTTGGATCCTTTCCTTATACTGTATTGAAAGTCAACTGAAAATGGATCAAAGGCCTAAATATAAGAGTTAAAACTATAAAACCCTCTGAAGAAAACATAAGGCAAATCTTCATGATCTTGGATTTGGCAATGATTCCCTGGATTAATGACAGAAGCACAGGCAACAAAAGAAAAATATAGGTAAATTAGGCTACATCAAAAAGGACATTATCAACAGAGTGAAAAAGCAAACCACAGAATGAGAGAAAATATTTGCAAATCATATGTCTGATAAGGGATTGATATCTAGAATATATAAAGAGCTCTTAGGTCTCAACATTTCTCCAAGGAAAATATATAAATGGCCAATATGCACATGAACAAACTTAACATCGCTAATCGTTAGGGAAATATAAATTAGAACCAAAATGAAATATAATTTTATACCATTAAGGTCACTATTATTAAAAAGAAAACAACAAACCCAAAACAGAAATAGCAATTGTAGGAGAGGATGTAGGTTAGGAAAAATTGGACCTTTGTACACTCATGGTGGGAACGTAAAATGGTGCAGCTGCTGTGGAAAACAGTGTGGTGGTTCCTCAAACTTTTAAAAATAGAATTGCCAAATGATGCAGCAATTCTGCTTCTGGGTATAAACCCAAAATAAATGAAAGCAGACCCTCAAAGAGATGTTTTCATAGCAGCATTATTCTAGGTAACCAAAAGGTAGAAGCAACCCACATGTTCATCGACAGATGAATGGATAAACAAAATACGGTATATACATACTATGAAATACTATTGTCTTAAAAAGAAAGAAAATTCTGACCCATGGTACAACGTGAACGAAACTTGAAGAATGGACAAATCCTATATGATTCTACTTTTATGAGGTACCTAGAATAGTCAAATTCATAGAAACAGAAAGTAGAACGGTGATTGCCAGAGACTGAGGGGAAGAGAAAGTGAGGAGTTATTGTTTAATGGGCATAGAGTTTCAGCTTAGGAAAATAAAGCCCCAGAGAGGGATGGTGGTGACAGTTACACAATGTAAATGTATTCATGTCACTGAACTGTATGCTTAAAAATGGCTAAAATGCTGAATTTTATGCTATGTATATTTTACTACAATAAAAAATAAAACAAAATGACTTCTGTAACAGAAGAGTTCAGAGTCTTAGAGATATGAAACAATTAAGTGTAACTATGAACATATTATAGATTGATGGATTCTAACTAATAGTAGTAGACACTATATCCTGCAATTGAGCACCCAGTTCTGAAGAATTTTGACTTTCAGTATTCTGCAGCTTGGTCTTCAATTATTATTTTCCTCGTTATCTAAAGTTAGTGTTTTTAGATAATGGGGGAATAAAATAAGATCAGGGAATCCCACTGACACTTTCTCATTGCTTTACTTCTTTCAATGTGAAATTTATGAGTGATAATATTAAGATGCATAAAGCTAATACTAAGACATGGTGGTTCTGTTGCAGAATTACAAATGGAGAATGTTAATTAAAATCAGATTCGTTAAAGGGTGTATGCTGGAAATGACAAATTGCTGCCCAGTCTTCATCTAAAGACTGCTTGAGTTAATCTGCTTTACACCAGCAACTGACACATCTGCTGAAGGCAGATGCCACCTTGGGAACCTGGAATTGGTGACTGCAGTTAACAAATTCAACACCCAGCCGAGGCAGCAGCCTGCATAGCTTATCTCTAAGCTTGGTGGAACATGTGTTGAAAATCCCTGAAAAAACAGACAGACCGCTGAAGTAGGAGTCATCAGTATTTCAAGCACGGCTCTGCTACTGGGACCATCAGGAAATCACTCACTCCCTCTGAGTTGAATTTCCTCTTCTGTAAATCAAGGTTGTTTTTGCCCATCCTTTTCATTTCTAAAAGCCCATGATCGACTACTGATCCACCCCCATATATTAGGAATCTTAAAGTGGTTCATGGAATAATAGTAGTGAGGCAACCAGGCTGATCCATAGATTTTTGTGGGACTAGGAATAAATCCATCCAAAATTTTAAACTTAAATGATGTACATTTCTCTTTAAGAGAAAGATACACTTGGTATATATATATATAGAAACATTTAACTATAAAACAAATGAATGCTGATGATGACTCTGCTTTGATTTAGGGGCTTGAATACATGTATAAAAGCAGGTTTTATTTACATTATTCTCTGTACTTGATTGTCTTATTACATATAAATAATGCTCTCTTCCTTTTTGATGCAATGATTGAACAGACCTCATAAAGGAGAATGAGAATTTATTCTTCCCTTTTGTCCAAATGGGTTCGAGGATGGTGATACATCTCTCTCCAGCTAATGCTCTCTTTGATCCTTTTCCATAAAAGACTTCCCACTACCTAATCATCTTCAGGGTCTCCTGATCGTGCAGTTTGGTCTTTCACTCAATGCCTTGCATTCAGTTCTCACTTTGGTACCTGCCCATATTTGTGGTCAAATCCCACCCATGCCCACATTCAAATAGCACTTTCAGGAAAGCCAGACTGGTTCACTCTATCTCCACGTGCCACAGTGGGGAGGTAGGAAGGATCTCTAAGCACTTTGTTTACTGGACCTTTCTTCTCTTTTTGGGGATGGCTACAGAACAAAAGCGTTTCTCTTTGTTCATTCTCTTTGTTTTAGGGGTACACTTTCTATAATACCACCAAAGTCTATATCAACAGCAGAAATAGTAGCACAATGAAAACTTTTTTTCTTTCTGTGCATATAATTCCAAATAATGGTGAATGACATCACTGGAATCATATCCAGCAAAATTTGCAATCATAAGACCTGACTTCAAGTGCATTGGCTTTGCTATTTATTAATTCCAAGCCCTTGGGGAAGTATTTAGCCTCTGTTAAATACCTTGATTCTGTGGCTTCCTTGGTGGGGTAGTGGTTAAGAATCTGCCTGCCAATGCAGGAGACACGGGTTCGGTCCCTGGCCTGGGAAGATCCCACATGCCGTGGAACAACTAAGCCCATGCGCGACAACTATTGCAGCCCACGCGCTGTGCTCCGCAATAAGAGAAGCCACTGCAATGAGAAGCCCGTGCACCGCAACGAGGACTCAACGCCGCCAAAAAAAAAAAAAAAAAAAAAAAAAAGACTTAGATTCCGTTTCTTCATCTTTTAATGGAGAATTAACTGATAATGACTAGAAAGAATCTATTAAAAATTTCTAGCATGGTGTCTGGACCTGGATAAGCATCCAACAGATATTAATGGAAATCATCCTCCTTTGAGCTTATATTTCACAAATTGTTTATCTTTTCCTTACAAAATTATTTTTTAACATCTTTATTAGAGTATAATTGCTTTACAATGTTGTGTTAGATTCTGCTGTATAACAAAGTGAATCAGCTATATGTATACATATATCCCCGTATCCCATCCCTCTTGTGTCTCCCTCTCACCCTCCCTATCCCACCCCTCTAGGTGGTCACAAACCACCAAACTGATCTGCCTGTGCTATGCAGCTGCTTCCCACTAGCTACTTTACATTTGGTAGTGCATATATGTCAATGCCACTCTCTCACTTCATCCCAGCTTACCTTTTCACCTCCCCGTGTCCTCAAGTCCATTCTCCACGTCTGTCTTTATTCCTGTCCTGCCCCTAGATTCATCAGAACCACTTTTTTTTTTTTTTTTAGATTCCACATATATGTGTTAGCAAACAGTATTTGTTTTTCTCTTTCTGACTTACTTCACTCTGTATGACAGACTCTAGGTCCATCTACCTCACTACAAATATTTCAAATTTGTTTCTTTTTACGGCTGAGTAATATTTCATTGTATATTTGTGTCACATCTTCTTTATCCATTCATCTGTCGATGGACACTTAGGTTGCTTCCATGTCCTGGCTATTGTAAATAGTGCTGCAATGAACATTGTGACAAAGTTATTTTAATAGATAGGCTGCTTCGAAGCCTGGTATTTATTATAGCTGCTGCATAGGTGGGTAAATTGTTCTTTGCAAAAACTTAAAATCCCACTTCTTATCATAGCCATTATTTTGTACAGCTAGTATGAAAATTTCCCAACAAATGACAATAACTAATTGTGGACCGCTCTTTGTGGATATTAACCTTTTTATTGTAAAAAAAATGTCTTGATTCTATTCTCTCCCTTTTTTTAATTCACTGCAGATTATGTCTGGAAGCTGAATTTCATTAAATTAATGTTTTCACCCATGGACCATCCAAAACAATCCATATACCAGGGCCACACCCTGGGAAATTCTGATTCAGTGCCAGCTGATGTTTAGTAATACATAATTTGGAAATACTCCAGAAGCTATTATGATGTACATTTCTGATTAATAAGAGCTGAATTAAATCAGTGCAGGAGAGCGTGGGCTATTACAAAGCTCAGCAGGTTTCTCAGTATCATTCTTGAGTTTTGGATTCTTGTGCATAGTTCCATAAAGATGAGAATAGAATTTTAATTGAGTTTATATTTCCATGGGAACAAGAAAACCAGTGCTCCTTCATGTTCCCAGTTATATCTATGAAAATGTATCCTATTGTTCACTCCAAACTGCTGCAATGCAGTGCACGCTACTGAAATGAATTTTCTGCTTTAAGTTACCCATAATAGAATACAACTTGCGGGTTTGTAATTGTATCTGTGCGAGGTTTTCCATCTCCTTGGATTATCCTCACAGACAAAGAATTTTAGAGCTGATGTCCAGCACTCTGATTTTGCAAATAAAGTAATTGAAACCTATAGTGAATAATGATTTTGCCTAAGGTAACACAGCTGGGTGAAGTTTTTATCTGTTTTGTGTATACCACATGTAATTAACTCCTATTTTTCTTGCAGGGTGGAGGAACAAATACATTTTATAAAAATCAGCAAAAAGGGAAATTGTCAAAGCACAACAGAACTGTCAGCAAACTTCAAAGAATCCAAGATATTTATTATACTCCACAGGTCATAATACTTTTCTGATTCCTTTCTTTTTCTACCAATCTTCTAATTAAAATAAAATCTACTGGCAATTTGTAAAGTGTAAAGCATAATGTAATACTGTTCTGTTTCTCTCTAGTCATAAAGAAGAACAACATCTTGTCAATCACCCTTCAATCACAACAGAGTAGTAGACAGAGAAACTTGGATTTTTTTATTATTTTGTTTCTAACCAGTATGTTAAATTTGTAAAACACACGTAAAATAATAATGGGATACTTGGCTTTAGAATCCAATTTATTTTTATATAGTTTTTCATAGACATTCTCACAAGATGCTTGTTGGAGAATGAGTTGTGAACAAAACAGATATAAGATGTTAATATCTTCTTTTCCTTTAGTTTTTTCCCTCTTTACGTAATATTGAGTATATTCAAAAAAAGTTTATACCTGCTACCTAGTATAAAAAATAATAAGACAAACACCCATGAAACCACTGCCAGCTTAAAAAGTAGAAAATTACCATTATCTTTGAAATTTCTTATTTGTCCTACACTTACTCTATTATCTCTCCACTGGAAATAACAAATATACTGAATTTGGGGTTTATCATTCCTTTGTTTTTTTAATAGTTCTATTGTATTCAAGCAGACCTTGAGATATTGTGGGTTCAGTTCCAGACAAACCACACTAAATGACCATTGCAATAAAGTGAGTTACATGAATTTTTTGGTTTCCCAGGGCATATAAAGGTTATGTATACACTAAGCTGTAGTCTATTAACTGTACAATAGCATTATGTCTAAAAATATACAAACCTTAATTTAAGAATACTTTATTGCCAGGAAATGCTAACCATTATCTGAGTCTTTAGTGAGTCATAATCTTTTTATTGGTGGAGGGTCTTGCCTTGATGATGATGGTTGCTGAGTGATCCGGGTGGTGTTGCTGAAGGTCAGGGTAGTTGTGACAATTTCTTAAAATAAGACAACAATGTTGTTATCTGTTAATGTTAATATTTTGACTTCTCATGAATCACGAATGTTCTTAATGGCGTCTAGAATAATGATCCTCTTCAGAAAGTTTTTAATTGACTTTGGCCAGATCCAACAGAGGACTCACTATCTATGGCAGTTATAGCCTTGCAAAATATATTTCTTAAATAATACGACTTGAAAATCAAAATTACTCCTTGGTCCATGGGCTGCAGAATGGAGGTTGTGTTAGCAGGCATGAAAACAATATTAATCTCACTGTTCATCTCCATCAGACCTCTTGGGTGACCAGGAGCATTGTCAACGAGCAGTACTGTTTTAAAAGGAATCTTTTTTTTTTTTTTTTCCTGAGCAATAGTTTTCAAGAGTGAGCTTAAAATATTCTGTAAACCATGTTGTAAACAGAAATACTATCATCCAGGCTTTGTTCCTCCATTTATAGAGCACAGGTAGAGTAAATTTAGCATAATTCTTAAGGGCTCTAGGATTTTTCATATATGGTAAATGAGCATTGGCTTCAACCTAAAGTCAGCAACCTCATTAGCCCCTAATAAGGGAGTCAGTGTGTTCTTTGACACTTTGAAGCCAAGCATTGACTTCTCCTCTTTAACTATGAAAGTTTTAGGTGACATCTATTTCCAATATAAGGCTGTTTAATCTACATTGAAAATCTGTTGTTTAGTGTAGCTACCTTCATTCATTATCTTACTAGATATTTTGGGTAACATGCTGCTGCTGCTGCATCAACACTTGCTGCTTCATATTGCACTTTTATATTATGAAGATAACTTCTTCCTTAAACCTCATGAAGCAACCTCTCTTAGCTTCAAACTTTTCTTCTGCTGCTTCCTCACATCTCTCAGTCTTCACAGAATGAATGCCCTCCTTAAGGGCAGATATTAGGTCTTACAAGTCTTAGTATTTATTTTATAATTCTTTACACTCATAATTTGCAGAGTTCATGGCACTTGTAAGGGTATAAACATATATCAGTTATCAGGTTATCTACAAATGAGAGTTTGCTATATACTGTGTATAAGTTAAATTTTTCTGGTAGAATTTTGACTAGATAATCAAGAAAAGAAATCAAGGTTAAAATATATCAGTGTATGAGGGAATAAACTATAAAGATGCAACAAATAACCTAGTGCAACAAGTAACACGTTCCTTCAAACTAAATCTTCCTTGAATTAATGTCATCTTACAATTATGGGAGACCAAAAATAATTTTTCCAAAAATTAGACACTTGGGGACTTCCCTGGTGGTCTAGTGGTTAAGAATCCACCTTCTAATGCAGGGAATGTGGGTTCAATCTCTGGTCGGGGAGCTAAGATCCCACATGCCACAGGGACAACTAATCCTGTGAGCTGCAACTACTGAGCCATGTGCTCTGGAGACCATGCACCACAACTAGAGAGCCTGTGCACTGCAACTACTGTGTCTGTGTACTCTGGAACTTGTGCACCACAATTAGAGAGCCCACATGCCACAACTACTGAGCCCAGACACTCTGGAATTCATGTGCTGCAACTACTGAGCCCTACTGAGCCCACGCACCACAACTAGAGAGAAGCCTGCATGCCACAACTAGAGAAGCCCATGTGCCACAACTACTGAGCCCACATGCTCTAGAGCCTGTGCACCACAACTAGAGAGCCCGTGTGCCACAACTACTGAGTCAGCGTGCCACAACTACTGAGCCCACGATCTGACACCTGCACACCACTAGTAGAGAGCCCATGCACCACAACTACTGAACCCATGCTCTCTGGAGCCCGTGTGCCACAACTAGAGAGAAACCCATGCACTGCAGCTAGAGAACCCTGCATGCTGCAATGAAGATCCTGCAATGAAGATCCCACAATGAAGACCTGATGCAGCCAAATAAATAAATATATATTTTTTTAAAATGAGATACATGTTTTGATGTGATAAATTATGAGGGTTGGAGCTGAATCACATTTATCCAAATTTGTAAACATATTGAAATAGTCCAACCAATGGTGTTCAGAATATTAAACTGTGGCACAAAAAAATTGCTTATCCAAAGTTATTGAGCGTGATGATTGCAAAATCAAAGAAAGTTGTCTCCTGACAGTCAGTACAGAACAAATCCTGAGAACTCACTTCTTCTATGAGGTTTTTACAAATGGAAAATAAGGTGAAAGGAGAGAAAAGAAAGGAGAAGCGAATGGAGAAAGTTTTTTCTTTGTTTTTTGTTTTGGTTTGTTTTTAACTAGTGGAGGTCTAGGACTCTCAGGGCAAAATTAATGACTCACATTTTCTCCATTTTATCACAATGGATGATAATTTCATATGTATGCATGATTTTTTTCAATCTGTTCCATAACTGCAGTGTTTACTTCAGCTGTGTCTTCTGAAAGTGAAAAAATTTAAATAAAGCAGTAGTTTAAAAAGGCTATTTCATTCAATTCATTTAAAAGCATTAATTTGATTCTACAGATTGGGTGTTGCTGTTCAAAAGGAGAGAAAAACACTGGAAACTTAAGAGATGTTCATTCAAGAGCAGACAGTAGCTGATTTATCTTATCTCCCAAATGATATGGCTATTTCCACATGACACCAAATTAACTTTCGAAAAAGGGAGAAAAAACAATTACTTTTTTCTTTATAAATGAGATAAATCAAACACTCAGTGCATTTTTGTTTCCTGAAAGATTTATTTTCAGTTGAGTTGTGTGATCAGTTAGTCAGAGTGTAGCAAAATTTCAAATTCTTACTAATGTATTTTGCTTCTGTGAAATTACAAATTTCTTCTCTTGTGAAGCTTTTCAATAGATGACAGTTTAATCTGTGACAAATCTGTGGCAAAGCAATCTGAAAATAATACTAAGATGGTGCCTGCACTTCCGAGTTTGAAAAGTTATACAAATTGGATATTTCAAAATTTATTATGCTGGTAAAAACTCCATGGATCCATCTCATTTATTTATTTGTTTATTTATATCTTCAAGGCATAGCTCAGTACTCGGCACATAGTAAGTGTTTAATCTGTTCTTGTTGATAGTAGAGACTTTTTAAAAATATTCAATTTTATATCATGAATATTAGACCTTAAGGAAATAACTTCTGGAATACTGTATTGTGAGACAGTTTATCAGCTGAAGACATAGTAGGATTTTGGTAAAAAAAGTTACTCTTACAAGGATTCTAATTAACATAGAATTATATATAAATGAATCCAATATCTTCCATTGAAGAAACTGATAGGAAAATTAATATTAGTATTAAATAAAATATTCTTTCTGATTTAAATACAATAATCTTTGCCAGATGGAGGCCAGAAGTGAGATGGAGCTGAGAAGAGTGTACTATGTATTCTAAATAAAATTATCTATATTGAAGTATTTTTTTCTGGTGCTTTTAAAGTTGTGAATAAGGAGCTCTGAATAATGTACAGTTTTATATATATATATATATATATATATATATATATATATTAGGATTTGCTTTCATTAGCTTAAAGAAACAAAATAGTTTATATACACTGAGTTGACAACAAAGTGATAAATTGCTGAAATATTCTGTGTTCAAACTAAAATTTCAGAACTTTAATAAAAATCTTTAAAATTATTTATAAACCTACAAATTGCTCATATGTGCTTATTTTCTAGAGAATTTTTCCTCTAAAACAAGTATCTGAGTTAATTGTTAAAATTGTTTTGTTCTTTTAGGTGAGAATTAAGTAACTGAAACTCTAAGTAAGAAAAATGTTTCAGTAGATATAACTTAGTTAAATATATTATTTTCTATACATTAATTTTGAATAATTAGTGCCTGATTACTTAAGTTATAGTTTCAAGTTTTAGAGGGTGAATAAACCTCTCTTAAAAGGTATACTTGTAAATTAAAAAATCTTAAAGGAAGCAAATATAATACTTAACATTCTAATCATTATGAGAATTGCCTTTCTGGGTTTCTACTCACCCCACCTCCCAGGAAAAAGCAAACCGCTAGAGGAAATCATGAAATCACAAAGGAAAAGAGAAAGAGAGGGAGAAAGGAACAATAGAATTACAAAGCAACCAGAAAATAATTTTTAAAATGGCAATAGTAAGTCCATACCTATTGATTAATAGCTTGAAATGTAA